ACATTAGAAACTGGTTGCTGTTGAGACTATGATGAAACCTGGATGGGGAAGAGCAAGATAGTAGCTACTGGACCATGAAGAAATACTTGGCTGGGGCATGAGGGGAAGAGGGGCACTGCTGTGCAGCTGGTCCAGCTGGTAGACTTGTCAGAAGTGGTTTCTCACTCAGAGTAAAATTGAGGGGACAGATAAATTAAGAGGCCTTGGCAAAAAAATTGGCTTCTCAAGTCACAAACAGTCTGGACCCTCTGCTGCAGGTCTTGGGTTCAGTGTCCTTCATCTGGCCCCAGGAATCTGCTTTGCAGCCTGCAAAGCATTTGACAAGGACATATCCTCCTCCCAAGGGCGGAGAGGGATATGGGAGGAGATGGGGGAAAAGGCAAGGTTTTATCTATACTGTTTCAAGTTTATACTTTGAACTGGGCTCAGAGCATTCCAGTCCACAGCGCCTGGAGTAAAATATGGAGGCAACCTGTAATATTCGTTAACAGGCCACTCAGAGCTCACAGGGGCACTTTTTATTTATTTTTTTTTTACTCCTATTTATTGCTGTAATACTTAAGTCTAAAGAAATGGAAGGGGAGGTTAGTTGTGGGGGAAGTGCAGTGTACTCTGAGACAGCATGGACGTGGCAGCTGGAAGCTTGCTGGAGCTCAGTTAGCATTAGCATATTGAGCATATCTATCAGTGTGGCAAGGGAGGTAGAGGTTGGGCCAGAAACAGGCTCCTTGTGCTGCCAAGAAACAGAGGCCATGGAGAACCCTATCTGTTCTGGCCTAGCCAGCATGGTGCTCACAAGCAACACAGTGGCTAGAGGCCATGTCAACAAGGAGGGTCTTAAAACTGTGGTGGTGTAGAGAATATTCCAAAAGCTGATGCCTGTAGAGAGAAGCTCATAGAGGAATCTGGATGCAGGAGTGATTGTGAACCTTTGGAGCTATAACCCATGTTCTAACACTGAAGAACTGAAATATGTGGTCAGGGAAGGGACACTACATTCTCCTGTGGCTCAGCTAGGAGTGACAACTCCTTTAAAGCCACCCAGCTTTAAGGAAATCATTCTTATGAGTGTGTTTGGCCTTCTACTCTCTCTTAAGGTTCCCTAACCTCTCCTAGTAATCAGAAAGCATTTAGACCAAGAAAGAGGAAAAAAATTTCAGGAGACTTTTCTCAAGTTGCTCCACTGCTGGCCAAGCCACTCACTTTCCTGGTTGGAGACAGCATGCCCTTACTGAAGTATGGGAGAAACTATGGGACCTGCTGACAAGATGGGGTGAAGGACCTTAGTGCCAAGTTGCCAAGTTCTTGGACATGAAAAAGAAATCGGGCTCAGTGTTTTTGCTGAGAGTAAGAAAGATGTCTGGTGTGTGCTGTATCTGTGATATTTTCCTACACTTAAAACAAATTCATGGATTTGCAGCATGTTCTCACTGGATTTACAGTGAGTTTCTGAAGTGAGTTTTATCACTGTAAAACCAAACAGATGCACAATAAAAACTGCAAATGCTTATTAGATCCTCTGATAAAGCACAGTGAGACGAGTCCTTTTGCCATAACAAGCTGCAATTACAGCAGGGCTATTGCTCGGGACTCCCTGTTTTAAAGGACCTTGTCCTGCCATCCTCTGCTTAAAATTGCTGGCTGCAGCTTATGAGATTCAGTGGTGACAAGGAATGTAAGCAGGGATGGATGCTGATGCATCACAACCAACACACCATGATGCTTTCCTTCCTTGCCATTTCCTCGTGCTCTTGTGAATAGCTACATTGTTTTATGGATCTGAAGAATGGGGCATGGGACCGTGAAAGGAATTAGGTCAAAACCCTCATGAAACAGGGCCCAGAATATAAAAGGAAACTGCACTGCAGTATGAGGCTCCTTGGTGTGTGCCGAGATGATTGTGCATGTTTCTCTAGTGACCTCAGAAATGGAGCAAAGCAGCACTGGCAAAGTCAGAAATTTTAAACATTCTTAAAGGAAAGGCACATCTGAGTGCTGTACAAGTGCTAGCTCACTAGGTTGAAACTCTTCAAGAGTAGTTTTAAAAACAGCCTAAAGTTAGGCTTCCAGCTCCATGCATAGTAGCCTGAATTTTCCAAATGGATTGGGAAAAAGAAAAAAAAGCAATCAATATACATTAATCCTCTTAGTGTTCGAAGTTCAGAGTAGCAATGGCATTCTTTCCTGTGAGAAACCCCTACTGAAACAACTTGTGTTTGAAATTCTTCCCTTTTCTTTTGTTCCTTCCACTCTGGACCCTTCATCACAGGCAAGCTACTCCTTATGCCTTTGTTTCTTGTGTTGTCTCTATCCCATCCCTTGCCTGGCTGATGGTAAGAGGAAAACACATCATATACAGGATGAAGATTTCTAAACCACACGTGTTTTATTTTGGGAAACAGACAAAATGGGATGTTTAATTTGCATACAGGAGTGAAATATGGTCACACATGCAGCATGATTGAAGTGAAATATTAAAAATGGTGAGCACTTATGTTCACAGACAGAGGAATGCACACCTCTGCATTCCTAGTTCCAGTACTAAGCAGATGCTTTAGCCAGCTTCCTGGCTTCCATTTCCTGCTTAGCCTTTTCTCTGAACTCTCTTTCTCTCTCAATGAGAAGTACTTGTTCTTCTTCCCACTCCTTTAGCTTCTGCTCATGTTTGGCAATGTCTTCCACTTCACATGCTGGCAGCTTTTCCTTGACAAGTTGGGTGGTCAGGGTTAACAGGCTTTCAGATTCAACCTTGCCAAGTGAATGCAGCTTGGAGTACAGCTCCTGTCATAACAAGAGATTTGGTAGGGAGTGTGAAGGAAAGAGCCAGTCAATCACAAAATAATCAGCCACAAAATACTTCCCTATAACCGATACATCACTGATTTTATTATTGTTGTTATTATTATTATTATTGTTGTTGTTGTTGTTATTAGCTGGGCTATACAGGCCTGGTAACTATCACATCAAAGTGTTTGAACTGTGGTAATTGGTACCATCTCTTGAAATGCTATTATCAAGAATATTATTTTTTGAACAACAAAACTAAACCAACGAACTTCTAGTTTCACTAACCACTGAAAATGTCTTCTTTTTCCAAGTTCATTTATTTGATATTAACAAAGCTGACCAATCAACCATAACAAATATAATCTAAACACTTTGGTTTTGTGTCTTACCTCAAAACCAGCCCGATAATTTGATCCACACTGCCTGCATCAGCATCCCTCTCAACAGATGCATGTAATTTCAAATGTTTTAACAGCATACTTAGTAACTCCCATGGTTCTTCTTCCTAAGTTACTGTGATCCAAAGAGTGACTACGCTTACATAGACTACACAACACTGTTAAGTGATATTTTTTTCAGGGATATTCTACACTGAAACTAAGAGTAGAGCAACTCAGTAAGAAACTGGAGTTTTTCTTTCTCAAGCTTTACTTATCTAGATTTCATGCAGCATATGTTAATTCACTTAGGATGATGAATCATCCAGTGATACTGTTTCTGGCTTTCTGGAATCTTTAGCCTGACGGCTAACTAACACTTTGATTAATTGCCTTAAAAGTGCAGATACGCAACCAAAGAGGAGATGACATTGCACTGGAAGATTCTGTATCCCTTGTTCACTCATTATACATATTTTCCCGATTGTTCTTTTAAATAAAAGACTTTACTGAGCCCAGCACTTGCAGAAATGTTTTAAGTAAGCATGCATTCTAAAGAAAGGTACATCCATACTTCTTTCATTTGTATAAAACTTCTTGTTTTGCATTGAAGGATAATGGAAAGAAGATGTGGGAATCATTCACCTCCAAACAAAATGGCAGTTCTAGAGCGATGCAGATATCCAGATTTCCAGCTATAACTGAAAACCTATGCATTGTGCTGCTGGCCCACAGTGTTCCTTTTACCTGAGCCATTGCTGGCAATAATCTGCAAAGGCGCTTCTTCTCAGCTCCTGGCTGGAGGCTCTGCCTTGTTCTTAGGGAGGAAACTACTACATCCCTTCTGAGGTCTCTCCAGTTCTCTCTCCCTTAGCCAGCACAACTGCAGGCTTTGTTGTGTTTTATTAGGCCCCTGAAGGTTTGAACTGGACAGAGAGCAGATTAAAGACTCTTTAAAATGCTATACATGCAGGTCTGAGGGGCTTGGTATTTGGCTCTGTCTGGGTTTTTAAGTTTATGATAAAGAATAAAAACAAAGCCAATGTCTTCAAAGCTAATGGACTAAAACCAAATTGAATAAACTTATTCAGGTGTATTAGTCTCTATTTTGTTTGAGGTATCAGTAAGTATACAAGGCATCAGGGAGAAAAGTGAGGAGACAGTACAGCTTGGGTTTGGGGAAGGAATTTGAAAATTTTGCTCATGTTTACGGACTAGATATGCATTTTAAATGTAATTGGTTTACATCCTTCAGATTCTTACTATTAGACTCTACCAAGGATGTGCTGAAAAGGGGCTTTATGCACTGAACTTGAACAGTATGAAACTGAACTACAGAAAGGCAACCTGGAAACTAGCAGGTCTTGTCTCCTAAGCCATTACTGGTATCACTGAACTTCTGGAATATTCACTGCTCTTCTGTGATATATCAGTAAAACTAATTTAGGAAAGCAGAAGGCTGTATGTCCTGCAGGTACTAAAAGAGTACATTCTTAAATGGCTAAATCATTGATTTTCATAAGCAGTCTCCAGGGCTCTGCATGCAGACAGTTAGGGGAGGTGTTCCCAGCATTTATGTGATGAAATGTTTGCCCACTGATCATTCACAGATGGAAGGAATTGCCTGAGGAGCACTGTACTGAGTTAGTCTCAGCATACGGGATCCAAAAATGGGTAATTACAACACAAATGACAGTGTCGGTGTCTAGATTACAGCTCTAAAGGCTTTATCTAGAAAAAGCCAAATGCCCTCAAGTTCTGTTTGTTTCTGTGGAAGTGAAGGACATGTATCTGTACCTGTTAGGCTGCAATGGCTTTTTCAGGTACTTCCATGGAATATAATGGAGGAGTGTGTGTGTATCTGGAGCAAATCCATATGCTTTTCCTTGAATTCTGAGGTGTATGATTTGTGAAAGAGAACTGGGCATGCAGGAGGCAGAAGCAACTGGTTTTAAGTTCAAGGAGAAAGACTTGGATATGCTGGCTAATGCAGGGCTGAACAAAGTGCAACTGAATTGTTTTCAGCAGCAGAAGTTCAAACCCTTTGCTGGGGTTACACAGAAGAGCAGGTGATCTGTCCTGGGACAGCAGCTGTGAATGCACACAGCACCAGGTTGCTTCAGAGCTGCCACCTTCCCTCACACTTGTATGGATTTCTAGTGCACTACTCTACCCTGTGAACGACACCTGTAAGTGTCCAGGATTAAGCTGGGAAGAGTGACTACTGCTGTCCTGATGGATTTGAGAGGAGACTCTCAGAACTCTTTCAGGCTTGGCTGAAACGGCATTCTGACTTGAGAGCCCCTTTTCTCATTCAGAAAACCTGAAAGTGTGGCTTATAGACATATAATTACTGTTAGATGCCTAGACTCCACATGAGGGCTATGTCTTTCTCATATGCAGACCTTCCTGATGAGACTTTAGGAGTTAAGCAATGGGTCTGTAATTTTTCGGCCCAAAGTCAGGGCACTCACTGCCACACCAATGAATGCCTGAAAAGGGGATTAATTATGGAACTTGTGAAAAGGTTGAGGTGAGAATAAAACTACCCTCTTGGCACTAGCCTGTCCCCAGTTTGATATTTAGGCCTTGTTTCGAGCACTCTGCATTATTTTCTTCAACAAGAAGAAATGGATAGGCAATGAGAGACACATAAAAATGTCTCACTCCCTCTTTCAAAGGGCACTTGTGTTTACCTAATTCACTGTAATTCATCCAGGCATTAATTACCACATGCTGAACACCCACTGATTTCCAAATATTTTAATTAAAAAGTTCTAACTGCCTACAAAGCAAGTTTAATATCTAAAGATTAGTGGCAAAGTTGTGTAAATAAAAATTAAAGAAAGGAAAAGTCTGTGTGTGTGAGGTGAAACCATAGAATACTTGTCTTTTAACTTCTGGAAATTTCTTCAGAATAGTCTGTATCCAGAACAACTGTGCAAGGTCACAGCCATCCAGGTGACAGCAGCAAGGGAAACTGATGGGCTGTGAGATGAGTACTGCTCATGGAACTATAAATCAGATGAGTTTCAACCTAGCGTATTTGATTTTTACCACAGCACAAATCAGAGATGATAAAATAAGCTCATTATATAGCTATGAGATGATTACATAAAATGCACTTGTTATACAGATGCACTGTAACAAATAGCTGTTTTTCTTACTGTTATCATCAGCATGACAATCTAAAGATAAAAGAGAGGTGATAAAATTGATAATTCCCCAGACTGAAAGTACAGGATGCAACATTTCTAAATAATTGTAGTGTACACAAATGGACAATAAATTCAGGATGGTCTCATGCCTATTATAATTAATTTTAATGAGCAAGAGCCCACACAAGGTCAAATAATGGGTCTCTAATGACATAACACTTATGCGAACAGAACTGGATTTATCATTTTGATGTATGAAAAGTGAAGATAAAATCCCAGCAGACAGACAAAAGACAAGTGGCCTTGAGCATTTACATCTTTGCTGCTTCCTGACTGAACAAGTGAAAACGTAAGGTGACATCAGTTTCAAAAACGTCAAGTGGGACTCCTAATAGACTGACACTGAAGGGGTGTCAGTCTATTAGCCACAGTAACTCAGCATATATATTTTCTAGTATGTATCACAGAGATATCCTACAGCTTAGGATATTTAAATAAATGAAACTCTCTTACTTTGAATCGACTGTAGTACTCAGGTGCTTTAGATTGTTCTGTTTCTTCTGATTCTGCACTCTGTGACTTCTGCTCTAATCCCTTGACTTCTTCAGCAGAATCTGGACCAGGTTTGGCTTCAAGGACAGACTGTAAAATGGTCTCCAGGGCATCAATCTGAACAATCACATTTGTCACGGTAAGCATAAACAGGTTGGAAATACAATCTGAGTAACACAACTGTCATGTATTCAAACAACTTCATGAGTTCCTCAATTTGTCTAGGGTTTCTAAGCAGAAAATATGACTGCTTTAGTGTATTAGGCTGAGTTCTTTAGATTGGAGCAAGAAAGATACCTCCAAAACCATACACCAAAAGAGGTAACTCAAAATGGTAGAAGTTGCAGATGTGACCTGTCCTTGTACTGTCATGTATTACAGAGATGCTTCAGAAAATGGAGCAACAGACAGCAGAACCTGCTGAGCAGTGCCCTGCCCTTCTGTTTCAAGAGAGACTGCAAGCCTAGTAATTACTGAGCAAAAGGGAAGCTTCCATGACCAGGGACACCTTCAGGAAAAAGTACCTAAAAGAGGAGGTGAGACCTCAGCGATGTTTCTATGTTTCAGCACATGTTGTGGTGGTTTCTTAAGTTACTCCTAATCTGAGTCCAGGATCAGTCTGATGCCCCACAACATTCCTAAGCCTCAAGTCCCTTGTCACTGCTGACTTCATAAATGAACTGAATCTATCCACTCTCCCCAAATGAGGGCAATACCTTCTAGAAATCACTCTGTTGACTTTTTGGACCAGTACCACTCAGGACATCATCTCAGAGAGCAGAGAATACATAGCTGTGAGAGTAAGAATATATGGTATTTCATCCTCACTGCTAAGAAGTATGTCTCTGAGCGAGTTCAAAAACTTGAGAAACAAAGGTGTCTTCCCACCCCCACAGACATGTGCTCCCTGCGACACAGATCCACATGTCTCTATAGGGAGGGAAAGGCTTAGAAAACATACTTAAATGGTTTGTAGCAATAAAACACACTCATTGCCAAGGACATGCCAGTAGAAGCAGTGATTTTGTTCTAAACATTACTTCTGTCTTGCAAAGGCCTCTGAAGTTTGCCAGGCATCTTCTCATTAGCAAGGCACAGAATTCACAGGTTTTACTGGATTTGACTTATATAAAATTCCATTTGTTCAGTGGGTTATTGCCTTCATACTTACAGCTTCTTTGCAGATTTTGCTGTCTCCTGACAATGAAGCCACAATCTCCATCACTTGCAAGGCTCTATTCAAATATCCAGGTGTCCACATCAGTGGCATTAGATTGTATACAGCTCTTAGTCCCTTATTCAACTCTACTTTTCCTGTGATAAAAGCATACTTTAGTGTTACTACTTCAATACTTGAGTCTTAACAGAATCCAGACAGGTTGGCTCTGGTTTTCAGAAGTGACAGCAAGCGTCCCAGCTTCTGTGGTAAAAACAACACACTTCTATAAAGTTGCTCTGATTGAACTATTACCTTATTTTATTAAGGCACCTTCTTTTTGCACAACTTCATGGTTATTATGTGCTTGTTTCTGATTTCTCCCCATTCTGCCTCACCTAGAAATTTTGTCCAGATGAAAATCAGACTAGAGTGGCCAGCTTTTCTGGTTGTCTGGCTTTGGAACACCAGCTCTCAGAAGGATGTCTGAAGATGGCAGATAAATGTCTACTTAGCTTTCAGCAACTGACTGTGGAATACATGTGCATTAAATCTGACTTTCTGGATTCAACTCCGTGGACTTTAGGCTTTACCCACAGATTACAGCAAATGTTCTGGTTAAGTATACAACTTAGTACCCCTCTTTCCGGAGAGAAAATAGGGGAGACCTGCCAAAATGAAATTTTGGTTCTTGATTTAGGACAATCTGTGCACTGAGGTGTTCACTGACTTTAGCAGGACCTGTGATGTACCGCACCACTGACAATGTGGTTTTTCTTCTGACAGTAACTACTAGAGAACATGAAACTCCTACATAATAGACGAAATGCACATCACATTGCAGTTCATGTAATTTACAATGATTGTCACTCTAAGGCTTTGATTTTGTCACTGTTGATGTAATAAGTAATACCCCTTCAAGTACAGCTCACAGGAGTTGTGTCCAAGCTCTCAATCTAATTTGCACTCTGGCTGTAATGACACAAAACTATGAAATGCACCTTACTCTTCTTTACATGGAAGAGAACAGTTTAGGAGAAGCAAGGTAATAAGTGCACAGACAAAGTCTATGGACTATGGCTAAACTAAAATAGCTGAGATGCTTGAGGCCAGTCTGTGGCCACAGACATCTTTCACTCTCTGAGAGGTTGGTTCCATTAGTGTTGGCAAGACTTTGGAATATGTGACATAACAGTAAATAGCTTTTGATCTACTGAATGTCAATGTCATGAAACAAGCACTACTGCTCACAGACAAGAGTGAAGTGCATTTGTGAAATACAGCCACTACTCAACCAATCCATACAACATTAAAAACTCTCCAACATGAATGCCAACTGGACAGCAAAGTCCCTATTTGTATCAGTATCTCCACTGGACTACAAACTACAGCTCTACGGAAAATCCTTTTTTCAAATTAATTTTCACATTTACTGCCCTTTTTGACTGAAAATTAAGTTTTTTGTTTTACAGAAATGATAAATGTGCGCCAGCACCCTAACTCTGCCACCACACATCATATTTTGAGGCCACATTTTAAGTACAAATCCACTTATATTCTCAATAATGCAGTAATGGAACAACAATTTACAATAAATTGTAAATCAATTAATTTCTTTCTAGTAAATAATCATTTTGTAGAGAAGGAAAAAACCTATCTGCATTATATTCCTCTAAAGGTTTAGAGGAAATTCAATAATTACTTGCCCATTCCCCTTCCCTCCGATTCTGAACATGTTCTGATCTAACTTCTCTTTAATAATATAGCAAATCATTAGCAGTGAAGACTCCTTAACAGATACAGGATAAAGGCACTATTATCTGCTGTTCACAAGCCAAACATTAACTTTACAGTGAGTAGTATATGTTCTAAACATAGTGTTTTTCAGGCTGTGCTCTCTGACTTCCTAAGGTTTAAAGATTATTTTAAGACACTTAATAACTAGAAAAAGAGTCTATTGCCTTTAAATTTGTGTCATGGAAATCTGTACTTTTGGGGTATTTTTTTAAATTTGTTGGTCAACCAAGAAACCAATCCTGTGTTCTTTAAGAATGTTTTCTTTCTTTCACCTGCCAATCCAAACCTGCAGGGAACCCTAATGCTGGTTCTGAAGTTGTCTGATGAAGGCCATACTATTCAAGTCAGTACTACCCTCCAGGCTTACAAAAGATTCACCCATAACTCTGAAACTGTCCTTCCATTATGTCTTTTTTTTTCCCCTTTGTGTTCTCCTTGATTACACTTTAATAAAGCAAAGTTGGCAATTTTATTCAGCCTCTGAAGACATGAGGGAAAAGATGATTGAGGGAGGTGAAACTTACCAAGGAATGCATAGCCATACAGCTGGGAGCTGAAACCCACAGTGCTATTTTGCTTTAGACTCGCAAGCACTAGCGATGCTCCAAGATTTCTCTCCTCTTCCCACTGCAAATAATGTAAACTAAGAAAGCATTCCTAAACAAACACACAAAAAATGGCAGCAAAGACAGCATGTGGCTTTCATCAGATGTCTTAGCAATAAAGTAAAGAATCATTAAACGTGGCCAGTGTTCAGTTACAGGAGCAGTACACATTATACAGAGGAACACCTCTCTTCCCATAAGACTGTAAAATGTGAGTAGTTGAAATTTTGCATGGAAGTCAATCAGTGCATTTTCTTCAGGACAATGGATTGCACTGCTTTACACTGGCCAAGCTCTGTCTCTGTCCTGTATGTCCTACCACTTGCTTCAGGCTAGCACTGCTGAAGAAAACTATTACATGGCTTCTGTACTACAGCAGCCTTTTCTTTAAAGTATGTGGCAAGATATACACTCCACTACCCCTCACTAGAATATGAAAATGCTGAGAGAAGCATATGCAGCTAATGGTTGCTTTGAGTGCAAAATCTGCTCTGTGAAAAGAGCATGTGCAACTCACCAAGACCCCTCCATGCCACAGGAGATTAAAAGTACAGCTTTCTCTCCAGTTACAAAGACGTACCAGCTGTCTGAGCCAGACCACCAGTGATGGCTAAAGAAGGGCGCCCTATCAGTAAGTACATTAAAACCGCAAGAGTAGTGTAAATTTTGTTTAAGTTGTTCCACAGCACAGTGCATTTTTCATGACCAGAGAAGCAAGTAAAAGGAGCTTTATTGCAAGTGAAAGGAGGTGAACAATTCCCATGGCTAAGAAAATGAGGAAAAGGAAGCTATAAAAGGCAACAGACTGAAGGAAGTCTGACTATCTTAACACATGGTTTTTGTGACAGGGTACTTCAATGTCTTGTTGATTACCTTATGAATGGAAAGAAATACCCCTGGCGAAGCAGCTTTCTGAAAAAATCCTTGAAGCACACTGAGCCTTAAAAAACACAAAAGTTTCGATCTTCTGGTTTTACTAGAGTTCTCTTTTCAAGGTACAGCATTTTTTGTGTGTCTCCATTCAGGTGCTACAAAAATTTGCATGTTATTCTCTGACAAAAAATACCAGCACCTGACAGCCAGGCAAGGTATTTGCCCAACTCAGAAAAAGCATACAAGAGAACAGGGCTGCTTTGTGCTGAATTCAACACTCCAGGTGAATGTTATAAGAAAATCAGATGCAACTAGAAAAACAGGGCTGTTACCAGCCTAGATTCTTTTGGGAGCTAGCAGGACTGCTTTGTAGTAGAAGGCAGCAATCATACTGATTATTTGCAACTCTCAAGGAGGAAACTTTCTGGGGAGAGCCAAGACCAGTCCGGCTTTCAGTGATGTGTAGAACAACAGAGAAATGGAAGCTCCCTATCACCACTGCTATACACACTAAGAACTAATGCAGTCAGATTGCCCAAGATTTAGTTCTCAAAGTTAAAAAACATTTCATGAGGCTGCTGGACCCCAAGCTAGAGTCAAGGACCTATCTGCAACAGGACACTGGCTGACCTGTCTTGCACCTTGGGGAAAAAAAAATGGGATTTTCAGGAGCAGCTGAGCATTTCTCCTTACTCTGTCTGCCCCCACTTCCTAAATCAAACACAGAAAATTGGTGCTGAGCATCATGACGTTTTAAATAGTGTCTACAAATAAAAATACGATTTCATTGCTGTCTTTGGATGGGGTTATTTCAAAATGCATATTAAGTAAGTCACAGCTCTGTCAATACGCTTGCCTTCAACATGTTGTATGGTCACACCACTCTTGCTTACACATTCAGCTTTCATGAAACCCTACGCATACTGATAAATAGTTGTCTCTGCAGTAAGGATATGCAAACGGTGTGGACAAACACACTAGAAAAATGAGATTTTCATGCCTATGCTTTTCATATAAAAGTGACTGAGCATACTTGATTTCTGGGTAATGAAGGAGAATATCCAACAGGGCAAATGCGCATCTCTTTTCTTTGGCGAAAACTGAAATTACAACCCAGCTCCGTAAAACTCTAAGATACCTGTAATATGCATTTTGGAAGATGCTTCATGTAAGACAAATGGAGGCTTCAAGCATTTTCCTTACGCATGACAACATGCTATTGAAAGCTTGCGCCAAACTACATGAAAAGTAGCTCCCTAAAAGTGATGGGCACTGTAGAGCCCTTTGCTGACTGAGCCCCTTGTGCAAAGGTAGAATAATGCAACTTCCAAGACCCTGACTGTCATGTTGGCCTTAAACAAGCAAGCTGTGAATAATAAACCCCTCATCCTAGGAGACAGGAGGGGTGTAACAAATGTAGTTTTAAAACGAATATGTATAAGAAACAATACACCCAAAGCCAAATAGGATACTAAAAAACCTAGTGAAAATGCTCTATAATTCCACACCACCACCATCATCAACATTCAGCTTAACAGGGTTCTATACAATATGCACCATAGTTTTTTTGTGGTAATTGATAAGAGTCTGCTTTGAACTATCATTTCATATCCTTCAAATACATTACATCTGAAAATCCCAACACACCTTCCCTTTCAGAGAAAGGAGCAAAAGGCCTGACAAGTGATTTGATGGCTTTCACACGTTGTTGGTTTTTTTCCCTTTCTTCTGCAATTGTAAAAAAAAATGAAAGCTATAGAGTATTTATTTCATCCAGGTAAAGTTAGGGGAAATAAAACATATTCATGATTGAATGCCCGACTGACTGCACTATGACACTCAGAAGTAGAGGCTTTGTGTATCATTTTGTGTGTGGTCAGCTTACCGCATGATCAGACTTGGTTGCCAGATACTGGTATAAAACATAGAGAGAAAGAAGCTGTGTTGATAATTCATCAAAACTTTCTTGGAGCATGATCTCTGTTACTACTGACATAGCATCTATGGAGGAAAACATAATACATAATCAGCACAGCTCCCAGTACACAGTTGCCTTTTGTACACACTCATGTTCACCCATACTTTATTGCTGTAGTATGCTTTGAAATAATTAGGGAGAAAGTTAAGCATTTCTTACATCTAGGATACAACTACAGAATGAATCTTACTCATTAGGGTTATTCAAACACACTGCAAGAAGGAAGAATGAGCTGATAGCATGAAACTACAGCAAAGGAGCTCTCAAAATCATCTTAGCTCTACACTCTTCAATTGGCCCTTCTTTGCTCAGCTCTTCAATTATTAACCTTTAAAAAATATTTTTAAATTATTTCTTTGTTCTTGTGTTTTGATTACAAACAAGAGAAGACTGGCTTAACTTCACTACCCTTAGGGTGACAGGAGAGTACAAAGGAGCAGAAATGTTGTCACAGATCACCCACAGCAGTCTTCTGTATTCAGCAAACAATGCTCTGAAGGAGCTCCGCAGGGAGTTCCAGTGACACTCCCTGTCAGAAAGGACAGTTTGTTAAACAAAAGGCCTTGAGCCTCACACAGAAAAGAAGTATGGATGAAATAAGGGGGAATTCAAAGATGGGGGTGTGTCTCAAAATAAAATAAATGCATGTATTAATTTGCCATTCAGCATAACCTTCAGGATAAAAGCTGTTGTTCCTTTCAGTTATTTGTTTTACAAGAGCTTTATGCAAAGGAAAGCTTACTGTAAGTCTACAGTACTAGAAGACCTGAAATGAAATTAAAATCTTTAATGTCATCAAACACAAGAGGATTATTCATCTGAACATTTAAACAGTCAGTAGTGAGATGTACCCCCAGCATGACAATTCAGCATAGGTGGCTTGCTCCAGTGACAGACAGAAAGCCTAGACAAAGTTTAGATATGTAGCTTTTTGAACAGCTAAACTTATGGAAGATGAACACTACCAATATGCATTTTTATTCTGATAACATTCTAATTAATTGTCACTAATAACTCCTGTTACATTATTAGCACATAAATCAGACTTGTAAAAACTGAAGAAGATGGTTTACATTCGTAATAGGATTAATAACAGTAGAAACTGTGAATCTTACATGTTTCAAAATTCTATAATGAATAAAAACCCAACAGAAATGAGAGATGAAAATGCAGAAAAACAGTTTGAAGGAAGGAGAAGGCACGTTTTACCGTGACTTCAGAAAAAATACGGCTAAAAGTTGTTAATTCAAAGAAAGGTTCTGCAAATATAAGAGCATACGACAGAGGATTCAGTATCGGTACATATTTTCTTACCTTCATATTTCTTCTGCTTTATAAAATAATCCAACAAAATATTGAATGTAAAATTATCTGGAAAAATTCCATACTGAACCTAAAGAGAAGAATGAAAAAGCTTAGTGTGCAAACGTGCTGTACAAATCTTCCCAAGCACAGCCCTACAGGTATCAGAAAGACCAGAACCATGGTGCTGCACACTGCTGCAATGTACAGTCAAGCAACACAAGGAGATTAGCATGCCTCCTGTGATGGAGACCTTCCAGCTTTTGATGCACTGCATTTGTTTTGGCATTTTATCTAAGCCTTTTGGACCAGGAATGGCATTGCCTGTCAAGTTTTTTATGCATCTTCTGCACCTAGCATGTTTTGGACACCAATGCTCTTTAAAACCAAAAAGCTTCCTGGGAAAGAAGAGGATTTTAAAAGCTGTAAAGAGATAGAGCTAAAATTCAAATGCAACATTAATTTTTATTTTGACAAAGAAATATCTGAACTTAAAACCACAGTGTACAGGACCTGGCTGCAACAGGAATTCCAGTCAAGTCACGTTTGTCTCAAAAAGTTGATCAAACATACTCATGGCTTTTCCTTTGTAAATCTTACTTTGTTTTTTAATGTGTATAAGGCTTTGTCTTGAGCACCATATTTCAAACACTGTCTGATCCAGCTGTGGATGGTCCAGTCTCTCAAGTACCAGCAATTTGGACTATGACGAAACCTAAAAGATGATAAACAGTTCAGGTGACAATATGACTCTGTTATCACAGAAACAAATTCTGTAATCAAGATCTGTGAGTTTCAAAACCCCACCATCCATGAACTCAGATATAAATCTCTCTGTGTTTGCCTTTGCAGTCAGTCATCGCTCTCTAAAGTGTTCCAGATAGCCCTTTCAAGTAAAAGAAATGAAACTTTAACACCCTAACAGTACGTACAAGGGGGAATCTGACCTTCTCACAAATGTATAATATTTCAAACTTCTCACTTTCCAGAAAGCCTACTGCTTTTCTCCTGAAAAGATGAATACCATAAAATAACAGCTTGGTATATATATGAAGATCAACTTCATATATAAATACTGCTATAAATACTGTAGTGTTTTTTAACCTTGTCCTTGTGATTCTATAACATCGTATAGAATGGTCTCGTCAAAGAGATGTGACTGATGATATCCACAAATATCAGAATTACATCAAAATATAACTGAGTCTGAAACTTTAGAGCTTGTGTAATCTGGTCCCTCCCATACTCTCTAACTCATGCCTCACTTCACCACTTAAGAATCCATTATGCCTCAACACAGGTCATCCCTGAGCTGCTTGCATGCTCCATTTGCCTTAGAAATCTTCATCAGTGAGGTAAACCTTATGCAAGGGGAAACTCTGCTGAAAGCCTTTCCCTGCCCCTCTGCACTGACAACCTACTCTGACACATCTCATGTCATGGCTTCATCAGTATTGTCAGGCAACCTACTCCAGTGCTTGACCAATTTGTAAAATTGAATACCTTTAAGTTCAGCCTCTTTTATTTCATCCTTATTCACACACATGCACTTTGCTCTGCATTTGGAGAAGTGGTGACAAAAAGCACATGGAGCTTTAACTTTGGCCAACACTCAAACACCAGTTATAAGTCCAATGTTAGAAACTGCTGCCTTGGTCCTGGGCTGAATTTCACACCCCAGCATGAAGAGATGCATGCAGTGTTTCTCAGTTCAATTTGTATGCATGAAAAATAAGCACAGAAATGACTGCCAATTCCCTAGAAAATGCCAATGACTGAGCTGAGCTCATGTGCAGATGCTTGCAGCCCCAAGCCAAGCTCCAGCACCACTTAGAGGCAGGGTTGACTCTTCCATCTGAGCGAGCATGCTTTCCAGAACGTTTATCAGATTAACGTGGCCACCAACTCCCTGTCCCCCTCAGTAAATCTCTTGCCTATTGCTGAGGGCTACACAGATGACCAAGCCTGCAAAAGTACTGCAGCCTAGAGAGCCTTCAGAATGAAGGAGACATCTGTGCCAAAAGTGGAGCTAAATCACTGCAGAGTCTAAATATATGGGGTTTTAAGTGGCACATGAAATCTCCCCATTAAATTAGAATTTAATAGACAAAGAAAAGCATGCTTTGAATATTACATTACAACATCCACTTTGTTGCTGTAATTGCTTTCCATTTTCTTCCCTCTGGAGTTCAAACATTCATTTGCTTTCAATAAAGTCCTGTATCAATAATCCTTACAGGAAGCATCAATTACAGGAATTTGGATTTAATCATATTTCGATAAAAAAATTATCTAATTGCTACAGACTGTTTCACCAGCGATTTAAGAAGGGTCAAACTGGAACACCAGCACCCAGCACTAAAGCTGCTAGCATCTTTTAAGGTTTTATTAAATGGCTAATATAGTTTCACAAGAGGAAACTAAAAGACTCATCTTTCAAAAAACATGACACTGATGCTCTAAAATACCTAGGACTTTCTTTTGATAAAATCTTTGCAGAAGGAAAGCAAGCAGTAAAAAAAAACAAAAAAACAACAAACCAAAACACCAACAAAAAACCACAGCCAAAGGTTTTTAATGGGTTTAAATATTCAACTCTTTGCAGAGCTCTATTTATTCTCTTGAGTACACCACAGTGAGAGAGAGCATCCCAATACTTCCTACACCTTGGGCTTGCTACAACTTACCGTAGTGATGAAAAGCTTCTAGGTTTAAAGTCAAATTGCACTTAGACAGAAAAAGGCCTAACAGGGATGCAATGCAGTCTAGAAACAGAATGAAACTGATCCTCAGTCAACACTCATCGCTGGAATCAACACCCACAAAATTCAGAGGCATGTTATAAAAACTCTTAAAAAATCTGCATGAGCTTGGTAGGGCTGGGAATGATTTGAGTGTGCATGTGTATGGTGACCCATAGGATATCTCATGTATTATTACTGTATGTATGTTACTATCAGGATTTTTTGCTCAGACCAGGTCTCCACTGTACTAGGTGCTATGCAAATGAAAAGCAAATAACTTCTCAGTTAAGCAGTTTTCTACTTAATTCTAACAATCAATTATAAAGCAGTTGCATGGGAACGAAGAGACGGGGCTGGTGCAAGAATGCAACATATAGGCACGTACAAGATGCTCAACACTAGACACTTCCATTAATCCATGATGTAGGAGAATTGGAAGTGAAAGGGAAACAAGTATGCTGCAATCTTTGATTGTTTCTGATCCATTTCAGGCTGAGATAAGCTCTGTCTCTATTCTGCTAGCTGAGAAGATAAACCAACAGTTATCTGGTTTTACAGTTGGAATCAGGGAAAAGAGGAGGTTGCTCATCATTTTGACAAGCATTAACATCTTCTTCCTTCTCTTTGTCCACAAAACAGGATATAATTACGCAAGGCAATATGTTCAGGGACAGATGAAAAGAAAAAGGAAGCTAAAACTACAGAAAGCAGAGGATTCAGAATGAATTAAATAAAGGGTGCCTCTAGCAATTGCTGTGTATTTAATGGAAAAACCAGAAGGTTATCTTGCAGATGCCTGATGCTGAAACTCATTTTTCAGAGAACTAATAAAAACCCAAGAAGAACAGGAGTCTTAAAATGTGTTCAGAAAAGACAAGGAGAAGCAACTGTAACAGTATTAGGGAAGCTCTCTGTTGGTACACTTCAATGTTAATGGCTGAAGAATCAATACAGTCATCCTTTCAGTCATAGAGCTGAGAACATCTGCCCCCACAGAAAACATGAAGAGGAATATCTGTAATACAAGAAGATCCCGAAATATCAAGGTCATTGTTAATCTAACAGGAAATAATGCAGTGGTTCTAGAATTCTCCTTATTTTGAAAAGTTATTCAAATCATGCAGTCCAGAAGCTCAATTTTCACCAACAGTTGCTTTGTACTCTTGCAAATGATTATAACATGGAAGAGATACAGGGAGCATACTGCCTCAGTACAAGGTAACCAGAACATTTTTAGCCAAGCAATTACACTCTCTTGCTCACAAACTGGCGAGCATCTTGGGTTAAGAATACGTTGTCTGTTTACTAAGTTCCTGCATAAAGCCCTATTGCTTATGATTTACAACAGTGCTGAGGTACTCGTGCTGTGTGAAACAAACTGAAAAATGAAAAAATTTAACAGATGCTGAGAGCGCTTCATGGAGTGCTGTAGTACTACAGCAAGCATGACTTATATTGGTGCCCTCACACACTGCAGAAAAGCTGAGTTCCTTCCCTATTTACTTCAAAGGTTCTTTCAATTTTGTTTGGTGCCATCAAGTGGTGATGCACTCTTGTGCTGCTTTCACACACCTTATATTCCCAAAGGAAGTAATACAGCAACCCTGAGAGCAAACAGAAGCACCTCTTGCTGGATCATTTTTTTTTCTGTACGTTTGGTAGAAGGGAGTACACTGCTTTGGGGACAGTCACAAATGAGGAAGACATTGAAGGAAAACTTGCTGGATTACAGAAGAGAAAGTGCTGCAGAAGTAATATACTACCAGGAAGAGCTCTGCTGTTCTCTTCCTGGTAGTACAGAGGGAAAGTCAGCTCAGCAGATCAGTTCCAATTCTCTGCTGATCATAAGCTCAATTTTGTACTCTGTGGCTTTCTTAAGGATTGATCCAATTCCTGGTACTGCCAGAGGCTATCCTTGTGCAAGACACTATTTTTTCTCCTCCCCTTCCTTTCTCCACATTTACCTGACCTAATGAGAAAGTACCTTGTAATGATCCACACATCCTAACTTCCTATGTGCCTTACTTCTTTTAGAACTAGAGAGAAATATGGGTCTGCATGTTCATTTGCTTTAATCAGGAGGGGGAAGAGTGTCAGATTTCTTCTCATTCACATAAAATTCTAAAAAGTCCCGAAGTAAAATGTAATGAGACTTAAAATGAATAAATATAGTAAGAAATACCTCTGCAAGCCAGGAAGAAGCTCTCTCAAGGGAACAAATCCAAAGCAACTCCACATTTTACACCAGTTATACAGGGCTGAGAAACTCCCTTGCAATGCATGTTCTTTCTTCTTCTCAGGCACATTTTTTAAGCTACAGTGCATACTGATCAAATGGATTCCAGGCAGTCTTAGCTTGGAAACTGGAAGGCTGTCATCCAAAACTCTCCTTTTGTCTGTCATTTCAAGTCACGGGCCTTGGGGAAAATCATCTGCATTTTAAATGGACCCAGGGGCATTGCTCATGTGTCGGTGTCAAAGGCAACAGCCCTGAAAAAGCAACCATTATTGACCAAAATTTCCTTTTAAACATGAACAAAACTCTATTTTTCCATCTCTTCTTTGCCTGCATCTTAGCCTTCACCTTTCTTTGTATACATCCTTTCTAAAATTTCATATATAAACCTATCAGTCCTATAGGAAACACCTCACACATTAACCGCCTACACTCAAAAACAGAGGGAGCGCTTTGCTTTTGTGTTAAAAGAAAAAACTCAAGTAGCATATGTACTATAACAAATCAACTATCAAAAGCAGCAATAAGGTTAAAAAATTATACACGTCAAGGATAACAGAGGATAGTCTAATGCTGAGGCAGAATCTTATACAAGTAGAGAACTGGTTTGCAGACTCCCTGGGAAAAAGCCCACATACAGCTGCTATTCTATTTTAATTTTTATTGACTTTCCCCCATCTTTTATTTTGAACTAATTTACTCAATTGCTTTGATGCTAAAATTAATTCTTCTGAA